CCTCCTCCTCCTCCTCCTCCTCCTCCTCCTCCTCCTCCTCCTCCCCCTCAGTCATGGGTTCTCCACTGGGTAATCGCATACCAAAAAACACAAGAATTTCCCCCTCTCCCCTCTCCAGGCTGGGGCTACCCCCTCCCTCCATCCCTCCCTCTCTCTTTCTCCAACAGCGTCAGACTGGCTCGAGTTCACCAGGAACGAAGCGGAAGCTGCTCTGGCTTTTACATTCAAATTAAAAGCTCAGGAGAAAACTAGTGAAAAACAAAAGTGACACGTGTTGAGTGGCCTGTTATAAAATGATAGAGATGGTAACAGACTGTGTTTCCCCTTGATAATTAGCAAATATAGGAAAGTAAATGCAAAGGCTACCCTTACTACAGCAATCATAAAAACATTCAATGGAGCCATAGTGTCATTATTCATAGCTGAAAATCTTAGTTTATTCACAATAAGTCAAAATTGACAGGAATTATTCTAATTGTCAATTAACCTAATTTGTTGAGTGAAACGAACCAGTTTGTTAATTAATGTTTCTTCTCTGTTGTGTTTTGTTGCTATATAATCGATCATTATCAGATATTGGATTGTTGATCAGGTATTTTAAGGCATCGATATGGATAAAGTTCAATAAAAACGCAAATCGCATTTTAGAGACAAAATATCAGTTGTTTCATCGAGTAATTTGCACATGAATCCACATTTTAAAATCAAATCACAAATGTAAAAAACATGTGAAATTGTTGATTTAATTTAACAATGAGTGACTTTCTGATAAATGGACTTCACTCACAGTGAGGGCATACATTTCGGAACAAACAAAAGTGTTACCATTATTTTTGAAACATCAAGCTGGATGTGTGCGGGTGATGGCCGCTGACTTGACGCGGGTGGCGGCGCTTCTGAGAGAAACTGCCCTTAATGTGAAAAATACAGAAAAAACACCGGGCGCATTCCTGAGACCCGGAGACATCCATGCCCGAGCGTGACAGACAGCGTGCGTGCGTGTGTGAGTGAGTGTGTGCGAGCGTGCGTAAACCGTGCGTCTCCGCGCGGGTGAGCTTGGAGACCACACACTTTGCGCATTGCTCCCCCCTCAACCACACACACACACGGGACCGAAGCGGCACAGTTGGCCCTCAAAGAAGCGAAGCATTAAAGTTGTGAGTCAGAAAAACACAAGTGACCATTCAACAACACTGCAGATGCGGGTTTGTGTTGAAAAAAACACACATGAATTGGTGCGTAAAAATCTGCGTTTTTTAGCTAAGCGGAGAGAGGCTGAAATGTGCTCCCCCCGGAGAAGACCCGCATGGCCACAGCAAAGCGACGCGCATACCCGGGGTGATGAGTTGGACTCACGGCAACAATGTTTGGCCAAGTAACGACACTAATGTAAAAAAAAAGCAACAACACTGACTTGTTTTCCCCGTTTTTCCAGCGCGATCACACGCCGCGTTGCGCAATCTGCACGGACAGTGTGGTGCCGAGGAAAAGAGGAAAAGTCTCCTAAAGTCTTCTCTCGATCCAAACGCGGACATCAACAACAACAACAACCACGACGCACACGCAAAGAGAGTCAGGAGAACACTTCTGTGACCGATCCCCTGTGAAAAGTGGCTCCACTTACCGTGCAGGCTGCGTCCGCTTGGCCGCATGTCCCCATGAGAGTGTTTAGTGCGCGTATGTGTGTGAGGCGAGAGAGTGTGCGTGCCCGCAGGAGACGCATACCAATACTAGGGGTCGGAAGCGCAGCAGCGCGACACGTCAACGCATGCAGCCTCCATATCATAAAGGAGGTGGAGGGGGTTCGTTCTTCAAACTGCCGTGGTGGTGCACAAGCTGTGGTCCGGGGACCCTCCGCAGCGCAGCGAGCAACAAGTGTGCGTTACATTAAAGGAGAACAGGAGGAATCCCTGCGTTTTATTGGCTGTAACTTCCAATCAGGTTTTGCGGGTTTTGTGTCTAAAATATTTGTAAAACCTCATAAATTCATTGTATTTATTCAGTTCTTGTTCTTGATATAACAGCATTTTAAGCCTCAACACCAGAGCTGCATTTCTGAATGGTAGATGTTAATATTTTGCACATATGCCTTTATTGCTATGTTATTAAGTGAGCATGCATCTTCCTCTATATTAATAATGTACATTATTTCGAAATGCATATGCATGATACATATTTTAGTAGCGTTTTCTCTATTTTATCCATTATTTTCAAGTGCATTTGCACGACCATTCCTTTTAGATCATCTTAAATGTTTTTTGTTGGTGGTTCTGTGGTTTGCATTGTTGTTGTTGAAGCTTCCTCTTTATTAAACTGGCTGCATCACCACTGACTGCAGCTACAGCTTTTTATAATCCAGATTCAATGCCACAGCCCTTAAATGAACGAGACATGAAAACGTGACAGAAATACGTTTGCCATAGAAAGAGACAGCAGGTGTGATTGAACTTGTGACTGAGGGACACTGCAGTGGTTACTTTTGGGCTTGTTTTACAAACTGCCTGCAGCACATGGAGCAATGCCACAGTCTAGTAGATAAACAGAAATGCCAAATCATGCACACACACAAGCTGCAGTCAGGGGGAGCATCACTCTTCTTTTTCTCACAGGCGGCAACTTGAGAGTCTGCATGTGATTTTTTTTCCCACCCTAACACCTTTGCACATGCACATGCACACTGTGTGAATGAATCTTGCAGCAGCAGCAGCCTGGAGAGCGCTGCTGTTTTTAATTGAACAGATAACACACTGGATGTTTTTTTGGTCTGCAGTGTGAGGAGAGCCTGGAGGATTTGGTGCGCCTCCTCCTGCTGCTGCTGCTGCTGCACCGTGGAGAAAAACGCCTGGCATCTCGCTCTCTGCAGTGGCTCTACGGCGAAGCATGGGGAGCACGAGGCGCAGGCAGGCATACAAATGTGGGCACCCATGCAGGCACACATACACATACATACATCGCATGCAGAAAGCAGGAACATCAAGCTTACCAGCAGGCTTTATCCAGACTGTTAAAACCCAGGGAAACCACCAGACGCCTTCATCTGCCTCTCTGTATCTCGCCCTCATGTCTTATCTCTTCACACTTTCCTCATGTCTTATCTCTCTTTCTCTGTCTTTTCTTTTTTTCCTCACCTTCCCTCTCTCTCCATCTCTGCCTTATCCTGCAGGACCCCGGTATCCTCCTCTCCGTCCCTCTCTCTGCTCTCTACTAGACTCCACACTGATCTTTTAAGTCTACCAACCTCTCCACTGATCAATGGACAGCCGGCGAGGCGAGCTCGGCTGCCTCCACCTCCCCCAGCTTTGTGTGTGTGTGTATGTGTGTTTTACTCAGAGTAGAGGAGGCTTCCAACCCACACACACCACTCTCCAGAGCTCTCAGCCTCCACAGTGCCTCATCAGTTGACCACTCCACACCCCTACGCATCAATTGTGTGCATGTTTTTTCTTTTTTGGGGGGGTAGGGAGGTATATGTCTTAAGGAGGGCAGCAGAGTATCCCCAACTCTGGCTCTGAACACCTGTGACTCATGCCGAATAGCTTGTAATGGCAGTGGTTACATCCAATATGTGCAAAACCAGGTGGCGGACCAGTTGAATAGGCAGCTACAGGCCATCCAGCTATACTTGGGTGAACAGCTCATCGTGTTGTGGTGCTTTTACGTAACGTTGAACATCACACAAATTCTCTTTGACCTAATTTCTGAACAAAAATGACTCATAGATGAATAGAAATCTCAATTATCTTCAATAAGAAATGAAAAAAGAGCTCAAACACTTCAGCAGCTCCAGCTAATTTGAAGAAAGGGAATCGGAGCAACCTGCACTGCAACAAGGTTAAAAATAGTGGTCTCAATTCATGCCTGCGTGTGGCTCTGCGAGGCGGTGAAGCCATCAGAGGAGAAGAACTGCAAGTGATTCTGCAGTGACATCAGCAGGGGTTAAATCTAATAATGGCAAAGAAAATTACCGGTTTGAGTCCCCAGAATGCAACATGTTGACCAGCTCACATCATCATCTTTAAAATCGTATTTTAGTATAATAATTAAGAATAAAGAAGACCTAAGTAAATCTGATTTAAGAATTGGAAATGGTTTGTTTTTTTTGTGTTTTTTGCTGCAGCAAACATCAGAAAAAGTGGGTGATGATTAGGGATTGGCAGGTGAGGAGGAGTGATTGACAGCTGACAGGCTTCATCACTATAATGATGACTTATGACAGGGGAGATGGAGGTAGAATTAAAAATGAAAATATCTTTGACGTTGATGGAGCTACGGAGGCAAGAATTCTGCCACATGCATCATCTCTAAATGGCAACTACAGTTTATTTAGAGGGCGACGATACCATATGGAAACATCTGGAACCGGAACAGGACAGCTCCCCAGAAGTGAAGCCATTTAATGTGGTGGACAAATGTATCCTTCAATCCCTGAGAAACGAAGGCTCCAATCTGTGGCTCCTTCCCGGCCCGACCTATCCCAAGATTCATTGCGCTTCGTGGGCAAACCGGGGGGCATCAAAACGTTCTTTTGCTGTCCATCTTCAGCTCTGTCGCTAGGCAACAACAATAACAGCGGGACAAACTGATGACGCCAATCATGGGACGCCTCCGTAGAACAGATTGTATCATTTCAGCCTCAAGTTCTCTGTGTTAGCAGAGGGGACATGGACCAAAGTAAAAAGTCAAAGATGGCAGCGTTTTAAATCCGGGATGTTTTGCCTTCATTTCTGGATAGTGGCAGGAAATTCATTTGTACTTGTAATGTCACAGAAAAGCCCATCTCAGGCATTTAAACTCACAATTGCATTTGTGCATGAACAGAAATATATATATTTACAACAATAATTAAGAATAGGAGTTTGAATATAACATGGGAAGATGAGGACTTATCAGTGGTTCCATCCTTAGCTGACAGAATCTGAAGATGATTTGTTTAATTTAATAGAAAAACGTTTCTCGAGAGATAATGATGAAAACAATATCTGACAAAGAGCAAGGCTTTGTCTTGTGTGCATGAGGCAGGCAGGGGTAAACAACTGAAAATAAAAGCAAGGACGCTCTGAAAAGCCCCGCGCTCTGCAGGTAGCTGCACAATTTCAGACCGCGGGAGATCACAGGGAACAAAAGACTCCCGTTGGTGTAGATGGGTGTTGGTCTGACGAATGGACAAAATAATCACTTATAATGATAACATTTAATCCTCTGTTGTGATAAAGATCAGCGTCAGGCCCTTGTAAGAGATAAATCGAATTGTCTGCTGTTTCTGCAGAGACTGTATGAAACCTGCAATAATTTTATTCTCAGCCATACCTGCCTCTGTTCTCAGGGCTGGACCCGGACCCACCTTATTAATAAACTGGCGGACTCTGCTCTGGAAGTCTCCGTGGACGTTTTCCAAACTAATATTTCTCTTCGTCAAACCTGAGCTTGTAAGGTTAAAGAGGCCTCGCTGTACGGGGCAGGTTTATGAAATGAAAATGATCGCTTGACTCGTCCAACACAAAATCCTGCAATTTCATAAACTTTAAATTAATTTCAACTAAGTACACATCGAATGCATTTTTCTAAAAGATGCTTTCTATCATTTAAGGACGTGCTCATCTCCACTCATGTTTGTAAGTGATACATTTCAGGCTTGAGTTTTTCTTGCAAGCTTCATTTTTTGCAAGTTTGGTTTTATTTAGTTATTTGATGCCATAAAAACCTAGTTAAACGTTATAATTGACAGCCGATATCGACTCCTGATTGGTCGAGCACATCTATCGGTGGGACCTCACTCCCACAGCGTTTGTATCCATCATATTTTGGCTTCTAGATAGTGTGAGCTGCATCATCCATCTTTATGTTCAGTCTACGGTTCACACACATTATTGATGCATCGAAACATCACCATTCATGTCGTGTTGCTTTGAAATTTCATCCACGCTCCTCTACATGGGCCGATCAGATTTTCCCAGAACCTCGGCAGGGAAAGGATCCTGTATCCTGCCCGCGCATGTAAAAGCACTCATTTAGTCATGGTGTAGGAGAGGTGGCTCTGTAAACTGCCTGTCTGAGTCATTTACATAGGTAATGGTAGGGGTAGTGCTCAAAAATGTGCGGTGGTGGAAAATATACAATCCTCCAGAAGCATACAAAAACAGCCAGAGTGAGAGAGGGGGGGGGGGGAGGAAGATGTAGGTGTCAGGCTCCTGGAGCACTTCAAAATGATGGGTAATTACATTTCAAATTACCGACGGGAACGAGAGCAAACTCCCCGACTTTGGTGCGGGGGGGAGATGCATTAAGAGCGCTGCTGAAATCAGTGAGCAATTGCCGATTTGTACATTTCCTGTGTTTAGGCAGAGCTGATTTGCATAGTTGGAAATAGCAGCTTTGAGGGCCACTCCGACGTAAGTCACAAAAAACAAGGAAGTTTGTTTCCCCCCGTATCTGCTGGTTGGTTCCTGGTTTGTTTGCAGCTTTACGCACTCACCACTACTACTATTGTTTACACTCGAGTTCAGGGTACGTGTCATCGAGCAGTTGGTGCCTGACGTATGTGTTGATGGTGCAAAATTCAGGGAAGCTCCAATAGGACGTTATCATGCGATTAAGACGTTGCAATATTCTCCATGTCTTAATTAGATTATTGATTAGTCAGAGTGTGAACAGAGAACAGAGAACGCTGTTTACATGGCAGTATCATATTCAGATTATTGTCTTGATCAGATTAATATCAAACATGTTGTTATGTTTAGATCTTGATGAAGATCTAAATGATAATCGCCATCTGGGGGAGGAAAATTCAGAATCCA